ACCATAGATTTTCTATGTAAGCGGTTAAAAATAATCATCTTACGAATGATTCTTCTTTTCTAGAAAGTAGCAAGAAGGAGTTTGATTCTCATCAATCAAGCTTGATACAGAAAGATGAACATTTTACACCAACCTTATAAATGACTGTTTCTGTTCATAGAAATACTCAACTATTAACAGTCTTTTTTTTAGAGTGATAGAACATATTTTCTTTTTAAAGGATGATTAGAAGATATTTCTAAGATTTTAAAGCAGAATTCTTTTCTTTAGCAATTAAATATCATATTTAATCAACAGCAAATTATTAAAATAGCAAAGCAAAAAAATCAGTCAAAACAGCTCTTAGATTTTCAATGTTTTCAATAAAATAATGAATTTTGTTATTTCTCGAAGTACAATCGATCCCGATGAAACAGGAAGAAAATTTATCCTTGATTATCATCCCAATGTGCCATTGTTCTCATCGCTATTTGTACATTGTACTATACGTTTTTCTCGCCACTACTCACTACTAATTACAGTATACTCACCTAACTTCATCTGTGCATGAACACTTCTCTCTTATCGATCGATCGATCATTGACGACTTTTTGTCTTTGTGGAACTATTTTTTTCATCAAGCTCTTTTTTGAATTGATAAATTTTACACTTAAATATTTGACAGGAGATATTATAAAATAAACGATTATAATCGAGATTTGTTTTACATTAGCAAGTGAAGAATATTGACTTTTGTCTGTTTTATTTTTTCGAAGATCTATTCTCTATGATGAACAGTTAACAGATGAAATCAGTTTTTATCTCTGTTTTATATCGAGTGTGTAATTGCTATGGTTATAGAGAATGTTTCCAAACTAATGGATGGCTATGGTATTTGAAATTTTTCAGTATGATCATGGCAAATAAATAAATAAAAGATCCGTAGTACTTTCAAATTCGCTTTTCCTTATTCTCATTTATCTATTTGTTTATTAATATCTTAGAATTATATCTTATGCATCGTTTTTTTATTTCAAAAAAAAACAATTCAGACGTAACTTGTCAATTGAAAATGTCACATTCGAAATTGTAGTGATTATGATCTGTTTGTCCGGTAATGTTTTTATTTTTGTTTTTTTAATACTCTTCACAAAAGAGATCTGACTAACTGACACACTTCTGAATGGAGAAAAAAACGACCTTCACGGATATCAGTGACATTTTTCGCTCGCGGGTATTTAGATTGAAAAGGTGATAACTGAAAGTGAGGTAATAAACATCATCGTCTCTTTTTTTTTATATTTATTCGAAGAAAGATTTGTCGTCTATGAAAAAGAGAGAGAACGAACGAAAAAAGATGAAAATAATTCATTTTTTACAAGTAAAGATGTCTCCATACCTGACATTCTGTTACGCTTCATTAAACACCATTTAATCTATTAAACTATAAAAAGATATTAGATGTAATGGAAGATATGGCGTCATATTTGTATGATATCTTCATAGCATAACAAAGAGAGAGAGAAAGATCTAAACTTACGCAAAAATAAACTATTATTAAACGTAGGAAAGCAGTAGATTATCATTGAACGGACAAATAGCTTTTTTCAAAAAGGTTTTTTCTTGAAAACAACAAAAATTATATTATATAGAAATTAAAAGCATCATGCACACCATGTTTAGGTGAACGAAAATCAGGGAATTCAGGAGTCCTTTCATGAAGAGTTTTTATTGCTTTGACTACGCATCATCCATCATATTGTATCGAGTTTTCAGTTTTCTTGATGAGAGCGTCATTCTATCATATACCTTTCGATGATTAGAACCTAGAGCTTCCCTATGTAACACAGTAAGTATAGCTAAGCTGGTGCTTTGTCACTAGGTACAGCCTGTGTTGAAGACAAGTGGCGTTTTCTAAATCCTCATTTCTAATGGTGGTGCTTGTAAGGCTATCGCTCAATTCATGTATGCGTGATCATTAATTGTTGAACAAAAAGAAATGCCTGGTGGTATGTGCGGATACCCAAATCCTGTAATTACAAGGCGATCGCACATTTTGCGACTGATTTACAACGGAGAAATCAATGTACGACCACATGGATAAAGGCAGGGCTAGCTAGATTTCTCTAAAATAAATAGCTATTTGGGATAATTCATCCCTGTTAAAAGAATGATGGTATGTGTGTACAGAAGTGAGGGTGAACTGTCAACTCTTCTATCCTCATTGAACATTGTAAACGCAAGTAATCTCTCTAAAATGAAATATCCGAAATTGTATACACAAGCATTAGAGTTGCTTACATGTAATCGAGTTCTTAAAGACGCTTAAACGAAAAGACAGACGGTAAAAAGCGATGTCAGTTCTGAATACAATAGGGCATAGTATAGAGACGCTGCTCGGATGAGAAGTCAATTTGTTCATCGCAAGAAATGTTAGAAGATCTACAAATGAGGTCATTAGATGTGATAAATAGAAGTAAATGTCGGTACGACAGACAACTATGAAGAACAGGCGTTAGTTTGTTTGATAGTGGCAAATACAAGTAGTACGCAGAGTATGAAAGCGAAACTAATTCATAAAGTAAATAAGTTTAAAGCTAGATATAGAAGGACATATTTCGAAATATTGTTTGTAACGCAACTGGTATAAGAGTTTATAGAGTTTTGACGTCAACAACAGTTTGATGGAAGGTTATTAGAGATTAGTCATCACTATTCTTATAAAATAAATTGTAGAGAAAATTCCATTAAAAACATACTAATATTTTTTTAACTATAAGATTTGTCACTTTTCTTCCCGTTCACGTTCTGTTCATGTTTTCTTTTTATTGATGGTCTTACCAACACTCTTTCAGCAAAAAAGGACAGAAGTCTTTGCAAATATAAAGATTTTCAAATAATACCATAGCTCCTCAATAATTAGTGAAACAGATAAATAAAAAGATATCCTAAATGAAGCTAGAATAGTGAAAAATGAAACTTGTACTGTCGGAACAGAATATAATTTAACACGACATCAAGATTATAATGTTGATTTCTTCCTATAGCCAATTTGTAAACGCCATTTCTATTATTATACCAATAGTAAATTATGTTATCTCAGTTGTTAAAATAATCTAAACGATATTTGATTGTTAGCTAATTTTGGTCACTTTTCCATCTAATATTTAAGAAATTTACTACTAAGAATGTGTGCTTCTCATGTAATGACTTCGGATTTTCTATTATCATTCTTGATTTTTGAATATAACTCTCACCCGACATAAAACTAAGTTCATCATTTCATCCACAAAAGAAATATGTGGCGCTTTGTTGATCAATACTAATTATCTTTCCGAAAACAGGACTATACATATATTTGCACGTGTAGTGTAGCAGACATGTTTTTTAGCTTCCGGTAAAGCATAATAGATTATATTTGTTGACCTCTCTATAGGAACAAAAAAGAAAAAGAGGATCTATCTAAACGTATTATTTTTATAGGAAAACGGATATTAGTTTGGTTTTAGTACAACACATTTTTACCAAGTAATAATAGAACGGAAAAAAAAAGAAGAAAACATTATAAAAATTGAAATCGATGCACTCATCGGATTTGGTATGAAGAAAAAAGAAAAGGAAGAAACACATCGTCGATTATCCACTATCATTAGGCACCGTACCAAAGAATAGGTTTTTTATCTTTTTTCTCATATAACAATTCATGAGACACATTCGGTAGAGTATAACACTCAAGTATAAAAAGGGAAGGAAAAATTATTTTCTAAGAGAATGAGCCATCTCTTTATGAACGACAGTTTATATAATCATCCGCTTGTTTGATCGATAACACATTATTATAGATCATGTGGAAAAAGAAGAGGAAAAAAAAGTAGATAATTTAGATAAAAAGAAGATAAAATATTCAGCATCAAAACATGCCCTATTTCTGACTCATATATCTGCTTGATATCTCCATTGATAGAAAAACTGGATCTTTGAACTTTTGGAAACAAAATATCTAATAACATTAGCTTTCTAGAATCTAGATGAAGTAGAGAATAAAGATGGATGGAGCTCATGAAAAATGTAAAAGAAATGTAAAAAGTAATCCTTGGTATTCAGTCAGTATGAAGGAAATAAGAAAAACTTTTTTTCGTTCTCGTATATCCACACTTCTATGGTAGTGCATACAGAATTTTGTACGTAAAGATGCGATAAATTATTGCATGCTGAATGTCTGTTATCTCTATAAAAAAGTCAATCATCCGAAAGAGATAGAAAAAGTGGAATAGTTACATTATGATAAAAAAGCCTAATAATCCTCTTCTTCAATCGTCGACGATTCATTCACTATAAAAAGAAGGTTCGATTTAACCTTAAGAAAGAAAAACGACAGAAAAGAACGAAGAAAAAAAAAATGTCGACTAGTTCACCAATCGAATTAAATACAATAGAATATTGCCGATTGGCTTGCTTCAAGAATGAGAAAGCCTTAGGGCATGATTGGCTGAAAAGAAGAATGTCAAAAAAGAAAAGAACGAACGAAGATGAAATTGTTTTGCTGACTTTGTCCAAATGAGAAAAAGAAATGATGTAACTTTATTTACTGAAACTAAAAAAAAAATCAAATTTATCATCTCTTATTATTTCACATGTTTTAGTTCTAACAGCAATAACTAAATTTAGACTCTTGTTATCTTTTTATATACACTCAATAAGGAAACTCTTAAAATATTTAAACGTATTCTCGAGAAGGTAGAATATCGTCTCCTCGAGCCATTATTATTGTTTTATTATTATTATTACTTTAAAAAAAAATAAAACATTTAGCCTATGGGCAAACGATAAAAAAAAAAAAGAAGGCGGAAATTGGACTGTTTGTGTACACATACACAACTTCTCGATCTTTTTTTTACACTACTTCGAAGAAAGAAGAAAACTTTTTTTTTTCGTTTATTTCTCTACACCATCGATACATTTTTTAAATTACTAACATAACCGCTGGGCGAGTGTGTATAATTCCATTTGTGTATCAACTTATGCCATTTGCATTTGATCTAATTGATTCTGGCGGATCAGCAGGACCAACAACTTCATCATCATCCGTTGACGTAAGTTTTTCTTTTATTGTTTCCCAATTTTTTTTTTGTTGCTAAACGTAACTATTTAAATGTGTGAGATGGAGTTAGATATGCGCATGGTGCCCGTGGGGCAAAATAATCTCTTTCTCTCTCTCATTTTTTTCATAATTTATTTAATAAATGTTCAACTCTGGTCATATTTCTCTATATAATATAACAAACAATGGGTTCCGCTTTTTTTTTCTCCTTATAATTAAAATTTTTTTTTATATTTTGAAGATGCTACTCTTCAAAATCTAATAGACAAGAGATAGAGAGTGAGAAAAGGGTACAATCTACTAGAAAATATGAGATTTTGTTTATATAGTGGTTTTGATTTACAATGATTGTAGTATTTAAAGGTAAAACTGCGACTAGTCTATAATTGTGTATATACTTTTTACTTAACAAAACAAAAGGTGAATATATTTTCTTTTGTTACAATCAAGATAACAAAAAATTTCTAATGTTTTTATTTCAACTTAATCAGTATAAAAACAAGTTCGCAATGCCGAGAGATCTTTTTTTCTTTTTTGACAACGTTCATAGCTATAATAAAGTCAAATAAATGGATACTTATTGTTTTTTCTTTCTTCTTCGGATATATTTTATTATTTATAAACAAAATAAAGAAGGTTAGAACTGCGAAATACATCTTTTTAGACACCATTCATCATCATCTGTATAATTTGTTTAATAAATAATGAAATCTTCACTGTTACAGGCTGACAAATATGGTTCATCACCAACATCTTCATCGTCATCATCCGCTGGTATTCCAACGTTTAGTTCAAATAATCAACGTCATTCTCATCCTTATGAAAATCCACCATACTTTCCACCTCCATTTAATCCGGCATTTGCACAGTTCGATGTGCAAATGGCAGCCGTGGCCGCTGCATCAGTTGGTAGCGATCCTTATTCATCACCGTTCAGTGGTCACAATGGCTATTCATCGAATAGTTATGCTCAACAAAGTCAACATCATCATCATGCACATAACCATGCTCATCATCCGCGCACAGCATCATCGTCACTTGATCCATTATCAATGACAACATCATTTAATCCGTATGATACACGTTCGTATGATCCCTATAATCAATATTCGTATAGTCGTCATTCGATGCTTGATGGGCATGAATTATATAGCAGAAATAATACAGTTGCCGGTGATAATGGAACTTCAAGTTTAAGAGTAAGTTGAGAAGAAAGAACTTATATACTTTAGAACGCTAAGTTTGTTGATCTCATCCAATCATCTGCATGAAAGACCAGTTTGTTCTTATCTAATAGAACATGCATACAAATACACACAAGAAGAGAGAACCTTTTTTTACATTTAAGACTTGATGCGTGATTGATTTTAAGTAGCTTATTGTCTATACAATACAATAAAATACATTGTCAACATATACACGGATTTCTGTGTCTTTACAAGTTCTATTATTTGTTCATCTTTATACCAATTGACATACAAAAAATAATCATTGATTGAAACACTTGCACAAAGAGAGAGAATGTGTGTGTGTATAAAAAGCAACATATATTCAAGTGTTTAACATTATCGATTGATAAATTTTAGATATTGAATGGTGATGACAATATTAACGTGATTGAACAGTATAGATCTTCAACAAGTCGCGGTAAGTATTCTGAAACTTCACTTATTTCATGGTTAATTTGTATAATTGTTGTTTGTTTGATTGTTATTAGACGGAAGACGATCAGGTACACCAAGAGAAAATGGTTCATTCACATCGTCATCCGTATCTTATGGTGGAAGTGGTCAATCAATACCGTCGGATTTATTTTGTAGTGTACCAGGACGATTAGCATTATTAAGTTCTACATCAAAGTATAAAGTAACTGTTGGAGAAGTACAACGGCGATTAGCACCACCCGAATGTTTGAATGCATCATTACTTGGTGGCGTATTACGAAGGTAAGAATCTATTGTACTAGAAAAAAAATGATGTGAATAGATTAATTTTAATACTTGATGTTAAAAGGATGTATAACTTTTTCATTCGGCTATTTTCAGTCTGAAAACTAATTAAATTCGAGGTTAAGTTAAGACTATGAGGAAAATTAGCGTGAAATGTTTATGACTGGTGACCAATTTTTCTCCTTGTCGATGTTCTACTTTATCAATAGGCGCGGATTGAAAACTTTGTTTCCTGTTTGTATTCGTTAATTTTTTACAAGTAAATTAACTTATCACTAGTATATGAAATTGATTTTGACGCGTGTAGAGTGATGCATCGTAAAACATACAATTATATTCAACTCTTATTTTCTTCTTGTTCACATGAAAATGCCTTTGGCTATAAATGAAAAAACTATTTTCAAAAACGTACACTCTATGCACGTATACAATCTACAGTGTTAAATAAAAACAGAGAACAAAAAGATTTTTGTCGTTATAGAAAACACAGTTAGACACTAACTGACATTTCAAAAGAAAAAAGTTGTCTTCTACTAACAGATTCACTGTTAATATTGATATATTTAGAGCAAAATCAAAAAATGGTGGACGATTATTACGTGAAAAATTGGAAAAAATTGGCGTTAGTCTGCCTGCTGGACGAAGAAAAACGGCACAAACAACATTGCTTACATCATTGGTGGAAGGTAATAAACAACATATTTCTTTTTTTTTTCTCCAGCAATAGTATACTATGTTGAAATAATAATTAACAGCATTAACATCAACATTGATAGCCTTCGGAAATAATCTAAATTTATTTATTAAATACAAATTAAAATTATCAACATGTCGTGCCACTAAGTGATGCTTTAGTTGATGAGGTTAATAAGAATCGATGAGAGAAAGACGAGTCACGCTACTAGAAAGTGTAATGTGATACAAACTTAATTATCTTTAACATTTACTTTGGGGATATAAGATAAGAGATTTGAAACGTTTGACCTCTCAATGACTAACGAAACAAAATTGTAGATAGTGAATAGGAAGATCAGAAATAAGTTCGATATCTATGAGTTTTGAACGTGAATAATGTTCAAATGTTTGTGGATGTTTATAAATCTGATTGTTTATACAAGACATATTTTAAAGTTTCTGACGTGGAAACGTTATATAACTTTTATATCGTTCATCTTTTTTACATGTTTTATTTTCTTTTTATTCAGGTGAAGCACATCAATTAGCAGTTGATTTTCGAAGTGTTTGTGAGGCAGATTTTCCCTCAAAAATAATTGGAGAATATGTTGCTCGACATCATATTGATCCAAATGAGATTGGAACAAGACGAAATATGATTTTGGCTGCAAAGTATGTTATAACTAAAATAAGTTCTCATTTAAACTTTTACTTTAACAAACTGTATCATTTTTTGATTAGACAAACAGCAAAAGAATTCATAGATATACTCAAACAAGATCGTTCACCAGTCAATATTTTATCAGCACAATCACAATTACGACATCCTAATTCTATGTTAGATTCATCTGTTCAACGAGTACTATCAACATTTTCATTAATTACTCATGGTTTTGGTTCACCAGCATTAACAGCATCATTAGATGTATTTCAAAATTATTTAACGGATCAACTTAAATATTATGATAAAAATTTTCCCATGTTAATGAATAATAATTCACCGGATTTATTAGCAACAACAACATCGTCGTCTTCTTCAACATCATCAAAATTAGATATCAAAGAAGACTTGTGACATGTGTATATTCAGTCATAAGCATAAACTAATTTATCGTTTCGTTCTCTCTTTTATGATACGGTGCTATAGAAATATTCTTGTGCAATAAAAATTCCAATAATCTCGAAATACTCTTAACATTTTTCTTTTCTCTAAGACAGTAGAAAAACAAGATTTTCTATAATACGCAATTAAAAACTCTTATTTACTAAAACGAGATTCTTACGTATGTATGTGTGTGTGTGTGTGTTGTTTTTTTATGTTGAATTTTTTGGTTTTGTTTTTGTTATTTTCTTTTCACTTTTACTTTTTTTGTTCTGCTGTAATTACACCTGTACTTTTCGAAATATAATATTAACAAAAGTATTTGATTGGTTTAAAATAGACTCTTATCAATAAACAGAAGATTAATTATTCAAACATTTGTGAAATTAATTCATATTAGCACTTCATTTGATTATAAAAGTCTGTTGAAAAATGCAAGAATGATAAAAGTGAAATTTTAAGAGATTATAAACATAAATTACAAATTTAACTTTTTCTATATGATAGTGGTAACATGTAATAATTTTCGTATATTTTAGTTTGTCAAACATTTTGGCACAAGTTTGTACTTCTTTAAATGATTTTAAATACTAAACAATAAGAGCAAAAATCTCTTACGAAGTATTTCTTCTAAAGATCATATCATTTTTGTTTCAGAACATCCATTCAAAAATCTTTTGATAATCAAAAATTTATGTTTAAACCAAAAATGTGTTGTTTTATGTACTTCTTCTGCTTACCACGTATTGGAGCATACTAACAAGTAGAATAGGATTATGATAAACGTTGGATATAAAAGTGTTTTATCGATTCTGCAGCAGTTAACAGTAACTGTATTCAACTAGCATAAAAATTGTTCGAAATTTGTTTACGACTCGTTTTCATATATCTTAATCACATTAATCAATATCTTTCTATTATATTCACGTCTTTAGCGTGAGATGCGTAAAATTTACTTGATCTTCACCATTCAACTCTTTCTTGAGACTTTCTATAGTAAACAATCTTATTTGGTACATTCATATACAAATGTTCACCTTGTGTCAGGTGTCATTTTCCTCTTTCTCTTTGTACTACATTGTCCTTCCTTTCCTTTCTAATCTTCAATGATTTTTATTCTACCCTTCAAACACTGTAAAGATCTAGTGAAGCGCAATCAGGACTAGATGAGAAAGATTCGGACTCAAACGTGAGTTTTTGTATTTCGAGTCTGATCGATTCAAGTTTTTAGATAAATCAACAGGAAAATTTTCAGATTTTCAATATCAGTATGAGATATGAAATAGAAGTTTACTTATTTAACTTTTTCTGTCATAATAAGATTGATGTATTGGACGACATAGAAGAAAAGAAATATAAATAACGACAGCCAAATATATTTGAAAAAATTATTGGATTCTAAATGGACTCAGACTCGCTTTGGACACGAGACTTCATGATTTGGACACGGACGCGCTCAGCTCTGAGCGTAATGATATTTTTCCGTCTTAAAATAATCAAACAATCATATTATTTTATCAAATTATTGTTTACAAAAATCAAAAATTATTGACTAAAACTTCTCAAGTAATGACTATTCAGTTGTGTAAAAATATAATTCATCATTTATGTTTGTTCTATTAAGACAAATGGATAGAAGACAGCCATGTTTTAACAGATAGTTTATTCATTCAGCCAAATAATACACTTTTTTTATTTTCAAGTCGATAGATCAAAGTAACCGACACGACTAAATAAGAAAGAAAAAAACTGTGTTTTTTACCAATAGATAATTATATGGGCGTACAATCTTTTCACTCTACTCATTTGACTTTTCGGCAAAAATTCTCTTTTCTTAAAGCATGAGTACTCAAATGAGATCACATGAAATTGATCTCGTCCGCTAGAAAAAACTTGAACTTCATTTTAATTTAGTTTTACAAATATCAGTTGCTATTTCTTTAACATAATGGTAGTTTTGAGATAATTCTACCGCTGTCAAATAAACTGGAAAAACCAAAAGAATAAAAAGAAACATGTGAAAATAAAAAGCCTCAGGATGGTAACGAATCATTGCAACTTCAGTCTTGTCTCTGTGAACTCGAAAATCAGATGCTACGTATATCAATAATAGACTGAAGTACCAACAGAAAAGGGTAAAAATTATGATCATTAGGAAATTTCCAGCAAAATTTCATTATTTATTCTCGTGAGGATAAGAGTGCTAAATGTCACATTAAAATTATTTTTTATAAGGCAAAAAAAATGAATAACTTGTTTTTTTATTCAAATACGATTTCTGTCGTAATAATTAGCTTTACATTTATTGTACAAACAACACAATGACATAGAACATTCACTAAGAAAAAAAAATGAAAAAATAAACACCTGAAATAATGAATAAACAAATATCTGCCAAAAAATAATTTGTCTTACTATAAATATATTCTTTTATGTAAAAGAATCATTTTCTTGTCTAAGATAAAATGGCATTGAGGGTATTGGGGGACCTTGATCATACCCAATACCATCACTAGTTTTTGGTCGACCACGACCAATTCCTCGACCACGGCCAGCAATAAATGACGTATTATGAAACGGTAAAGTCAATGTATCATCTATCGATGGATCGCATGAGGATGATACAAGCTTATCCATTATTGTTGAAACTGTGAGATCAGATCGATTAGAATCAGGTCGAATAACTATAAATAAGAAATAACATTAGATATCAATGTATTATCACCACCTTTTTATACATACTCAAATCATTTGGTGTGCTATGATATGTCGGTTCTTTTGGTGCTGGTGGAAACTGTGCAATTTTTGGTTTATTTTGCTGTTGATTATATGTACTATTATAGCTATTCATAACTGGCTAAAAAGAATTAGAGTGAGTGTTAATATTCTTAATACATTTTAATAGACAAATTATGGACAAATAAAAAAAAGTTGACGCAAAATGATTCCACTGTAATTGATTTGTTTTCAGACTATTTCTACACATTTTCTTCAGTATCAATCAGTTGACATACATTGAAGTCAGTAAAGATAACATCTAAGTCTTCTTTTTGTCTACCATCGCTTATGCTAACAGTTTCAATGTGTTCTAAATGGATTCTCGTTTAACACGAGACATGTTTTAGATTAGACTTACTTTTTGTGATGTTGCAGGTGGTTTTTGTATAACATGATTTGTTGATCGATGAGAATACTTTGTGGATGATGATTTGTCAAAACCAAATATTTGAGCTACTTCATTGTCTTCGTCATTTAGAAAATATTTTGCATCTGGTGGTCGACTATTTTCATATCTAGTCGATTGAATTTGAGGTGCTGGATGACACAGTTCATGATCTGGCGAATTAATATCCTCATCTAAAATATTCATATTAAGAGTAACGATACATTACTGACTTATGAATGGAAAAACGATTAACTTACAGGCTTTTTTAAGTCCAGGAGGAATAAAACCGCGTCCTCTCCGAGAATACGTAGTCAAAGATAAAGGTGATATGTTCAACATATTATCATATGTTTCAGCTGTCAAATTTCCATTAGTCATTTTATCATATCCTTTTTCGGATGAGAATGATTCTTCCTCTTGTTGTTGTTCATCTTCATCATCACTTTCTTCTTGTTTTGGTTTTATTTTTGCATCATGTGCAATAATAATTTTTTTCTTTTTCTTCTTACGTGGTTGCTGCTTAAAATGTAATAATTCACTATTATTTACTATTGGATCATTTTGTTGTGTTGAATATTGACTATTTTGTTTTGATGCTTCAACGCATGATTTTGCATGTTTTGAACGTGCTTTAGATGTTACAAAACGTTCACTACAATAACACTGATAAATTTTTACTTGGGTTAAATCAATTGTTGTCTCAAAACTTTGTTGAAATGTTGACCTGTTAGATAGAGAGAAACATACATTAAAGTAGATTAAATATAAGTAAAAAAAATTCCTACCATGTCCAGTTCCAACTACACATTGAAAGATTTTCACCTGGTTTATCTTTGTCTTCTTCTAAGGATGATGAACTTTCATCAAATGGATCTGCTAAATCATGGACTAATACTGTCTGTTTCGTTTTGACGTTATCTGTTCCATCAAACGATGTTGATGCTGAATAAATTTCTTTTATTTTAGATAATAAAGAATCATAAATTTCTATCATAACGATCACATCAGCTGCTGCATAATCTTTCCAAGAATATGGTAGTGGACGTTTTGACCAGTTTACCTAAATCAATGAAAATACATACTAAATAATTAATCTTGTTTTTGAAAAGTTTTAATTACTTACACACTGGTATTTCTTATTTAATTGTAAATGCAAAACAGTAGCTGTCATTTTTTGTAAGCTACATGTTTGATGATTACTATCCTTTTGTGTTGGTGGATATGCAGTACGATACAATGAGGAAAGTTCAATAAGGTGTGAAATGATAGGAGTTTGAAAACACCTAAAACATTCAAAATCGTACCGGCTATTAGTATAAGAGGATTAGAATAAAAACGCTGATTTATGTAGCATATCAGCTATTGTCCATGCAAAAAAAAAAACATGAACTAATTCCTTAAGCAGGACAAATATATAAACGACAAAATCACTTCGACATCTCCCAAAAACCGTTGAACTTGTACAATTCTTAATCATCACTAAAAAACGCGATTTTAACTACAAACATATGCACTGCTATCATAGAAAACAACGGCTGCGTGTTTATGATATGTGTTGTGTAGTGTTTCAAAATTTTGCTAAGAATCTTCAAAGTTCACAATTAACTCGTTTTGTAATTGTTTATCGTACAAAAAATTTGATTTCCATAAAAGTGGTAACAATAGTGTACGATCAATCAGTTGTCAATTCTCTATATGATAGTCCTAATATTTGACTTCATGAATACGTATTTCTTCTCTACACATATTATTCAATATTGATTAAAAAATAAATTTCCGAGATGAAGACTTTCAGTAATAATAAGTGGGTAACAGAAATACCATCTGATCTTACACTCTCCCAAGTAAATACGACCCAATTTTTTTGAGTTATTTATCTAGATTCAGCTCCACGTGCATCTAGATGTACATGGAGCTGAATCTAGATAAATAACTCAAAAAAATTGGGTCGTATTTACTTGGGCTATTACAGGCTATATTTGCGCATCACTTTTAATTACAGAACGCAACTAGTTTAACTCAACTACATTTTAATCGCTTTACATAACTTCATCACGCTTACAACGACAAATTTTTCTTCTATGTTTTATGTGTTTAAGAGTTTTGAAGGACACTCTTTCTTTTGGCTGATTTGAAAAAAGTTTAAAAAATTTGGACGTGTGATTTCAGAAAAACCATGGTTTTTCGCACACCTATTTTTACAAAATAATTTTTTTACATAAACCTATTGTCTTTAACAATATCTCAAATATACCATTCGATTTTTAGAATTGAATGGGTCACATTTTAAAAAAAAGACAATTTTCCAACGTAAAATTTCAAGTTTTTTCCGAAACATTAATTTAATTCTGAAATTTAAGTTTTAAATAACTCGACTTAAGTAAACACCAAAATTTTCGGGACTCCCACCATTGGGTAGAGCTTCAAAAAAGTGAACAAACATAGGGGTGTGGCAGATTTTCTAGGAAAAACTGAAGTAGATCCTTAGAAAGACTTCAGAAAACCTTCCAAAATTGACGTTTTAGAAATCAGTTTTAGAGTATTAAATATAACAGCCCCTTTAATTCAGAGCAAAATGAGATGTTGCACAGCTCTGCAAGACTGTTTTTCGTTAAGATAGAAGAATTTTATGGATTTTATTTTTGAGGAATCAATATCAGTACGAAGTTAGACAAAATTTTTATAATTATAGTTTCCTTCGTAATAAATTTTATTTATTTATTTCTGAATGCTTCGATTGATTAGTTCAATCTTCTTTAGTGAATACAAACAATTAATTAAATTAAATTAAAATACACAAATTGAACAAAATATTTTTTTGCTAACGAGGGAAGTACCCCAACTGATAAATCGCTTTTTCAACGAAACCGAGTGGACTATAGGTAGTCGACGATGCTGATTCCGAATATCACCATGAATGCTGCTGCTAGGCCTTCAAAGATCGGTCTTCT